ATCCAGCCGATAAGGCTGACTACATGTTCTTTGCCGACGATACCACAATATACACAGCACCCTCACACGACCCGGCGGGCACACAAACGTCCCTTTAACACGACTTACACAGCATGCAAGAAATCGGGAAACAATGGGTCATCACGTTCAACGCCATGCAAACAATGCATCACGCATTCACCAACAGGAACACACATGACGCACCGCAGCTGGCCTTTGATAGCCACGACCTCCGTCCGTTACAAGCTACAGTCACCTTGGAGTGACGATATCTACTGACTTGCACTTTCATCAGCAGGCTGGTTACACCATCGCCAAAGTCAGTAGAGCCCATGGGCCTCTATCTAATATCGCGGCTTCTGCGTGGGTCTGGCGTGTCCACCGTCGCTGGGCGTGGGTCTGACGTGTCCCACCGTCGCTGGGTGTGGGTCTGACGTGTCCCGCCGTCGCTGGGCGTGAGTCTGACGTGTCCCACCGTCGCTGGTTGTGAGTCTGATGTGTCCCACCGCCGTTGGGTGTGAGTCTGACGTGTCCCGCCGTCGCTGGGCGTGAGTCTGACGTATCAGTCGCCGCCAGCTGTCGCAGTCCCTGCTGCCGGCCATCGTGGAGCTGGCCGAGGACACCAAGTGGCGCGTCCGGCTGGCCATCATCAACTACATGCCGCTGCTGGCCGGCCAGCTGGGCGTCGAGTTCTTCGACGAGAAGCTGAACCAGCTGTGCATGACGTGGCTGGTGGATCACGTGTTCGCCATCCGCGAGGCGGCCACCGTCAACCTCAAGAAGCTGGTGGAGAAGTTCGGCTGCGACTGGGCGCAGAACGCGGTCATACCGAAGGTGGTGGCCATGGCGCGCGACCAGAACTACCTGCACCGTATGACCTGCCTGTTCTGCATCAACGTGAGTCTGCCGCGCGGGGCCCCGCGCGGCCAGCGCTAGCTGCTGCGCCCGTATCCACACGCCCTCTCTTCGCTCCGTGGTAAAAGGACACAACTTACCACTTTTACGACGTTAAATATGTGACGTGGATTCAAAGTCGTTGCGTCTCTCTTTGTAGATTGCCTGAAATCTGCCCATCATGTTGAGTGATCGTTTGGATTGGCGTGACAGAAATAAGGGTCGAAATGAGACACACGCTGTCTATTAACCCGTTAAACCATTGTCCGTTCGCACCCTTGGGGCAGAAGTGGTTCCTTAAAATGGCATGATAAACCGGAAGGTGGCCCTAAGGTCTTGCGCAAAAATGGCCCGGAGCCGATTGTGATCCAAAGCTACCTTTGAGAAACATTCCATACATTCCATACACACCGTCTTATGGAATGACGAGTGAAATCGAAGTGAAGTTAGCGTGCTAAGTCTGCCGGTTTACCCATCAGCCACAGCGTGAGACCAGCTGTCAGACCAGGGGGCGTATGGATACCAGTGCGATTACATCTTGCTGCCTCCGTTGAATTGTTTTCGGTCCCGCGTCGTTACGGCCCGTGGCTACCGAATGTCCCTCCGCATGTATGAATATCCGCCGCGCGTGTACGTGATGTACACGATACGTGAGAACATCAGTTGCATGGTCCCAGCCTGCCCGGTTTAGGCACCAGCGTAGTGTATACGGGATTGATTTCGAAAAACGTGACATTGTTCAGCCTCCACCAGGCTGTTTTCCTCTGCCATACGAGTTTTGCAGCGGGCTGAGCTGCCGCCGCCGTCTGCTGCCGCGCCCGGACCGCATCCAAGCGATGTATACTGACACTCAGTTGAAAACACCAATGCTACACACCAAGCGAACAATTGCAAAGGAATCGACGACACGACCCGCGCTTCTCTGCCATCTCCAAGGAGAAGGCTGCACAACTCGTTAAATGTTGAAGGAGAGGGCTCGACGTCGCAACTTGGTCATGCTTACGCAGCACATGGGAACAGCTTGGTCACGCTTACGCGGCGCATGGGAACAACTTGGTCATACTTACGCGGCACATGGGAACAACTTGGTCATGCTTACGCAGCACATGGGGACAACTTGGTCATGCTTACGCAGCACATGGGAACAACTTGGTCATGCTTACGCAGCACATGGGAACAACTTGGTCATGCTTACGCAGCACATGGGAACAGCTTGGTCACGCTTACGCGGCGCATGGGAACAACTTGGTCATACTTACGCGGCACATGGGAACAACTTGGTCATGCTTGCGCAGCACATGGGAACAACTTGGTCATGCTTACGCGGCGCATGGGAACAACTTGGTCATGCTTACGCAGCACAATCGGAACAACTTGGTCATGCCTACGCAGGCACATGGCACAAACTTGGGCATAACTTACGCGGCACATGGGAACAACTTGGTCATCCTTACGCGGCGCATGGAACAACTTGGTCATGCTTACGCAGCACATGGGAACAGCTTGGTCGTGCTTACGCGGCGCATGGGAACAACTTGGTCATGCTGACGCAGCACATGGGAACAACTTGGTCACGCTTACGCGGCGCATGGGAAACAACTTGGTCATACTTACGCGGCACATGGGAACAACTTGGTCATACTTACGCGGCACATGGGAACAACTTGGTCATCCTCACGCGGCACATGGCTACCTGTTGGGAAGCGACTCGGCATTGCTACTTTCAAGGCTGTGTTGCTACTTTCAAGGCAGTTGTCATTATTTCTAAGAGGCATAAAGCTTTCATCTGTATTTACTCCTTGCTTGTTAGAACATAACACAGCTGTCACCTTGGGCCAACTGCTGCGTCACTCACATTATGCAATATGTTAGGTGATGATTCACGGATGCTTGAAGGGGGCTGTGTTTAATTCTTGCGGACGTCGGATTTTGCACAGTACACACTGCTCGTTAAGTGAACCGCCAAAAAGAAAGCAAAAGAAAAACGACAAAATGTAAAGCAACGATCGTGTAAACACGGTTACCCGAAATGTTGGCACTCGGCTCAAGTATTTCATAAATAATTCCGGTAATAACCTTATGGGTCTCTGGGGCCATCCCTAGTGCGAGGTGCGAGTGTTGAAGTAGTGCGAGGATTGAAGTAACTGTGAGATCGAAACTGGCGTTTCCGGAACATTTTTTTTGCACCACACGGCACCCGGAAATGACGCGTTCCCTCAAATTGGAGGCATTCAAGCGTGAAACGTCCTGACGTGGCGTGATGGCAGCTGAGCGGTCTGTCGATTGGGTGTGGCCGGCTGCATGCCTGACGCCTGGCGACGTGTGTCTTGACCTGACCTGACTGTGACCTGACCTGCGTCGTCAGGTCCTGGCGGAGGCCTGCGGTGCGGAGATGACGGTGAAACTGATGCTGCCCACTGTCCTCGGTATGGCGAGCGACCACGTGGCCAACGTCAGGTTTAACGTGGCCAAAACACTGCAGAAGATGTGCCCTATCCTGGAGTCGAGGTGAGACACTGGGCAGGCTGCTCGCCTGACGCCGCCGGATGGCGACCAGCGGAGGGGGGGGGGGGGGGGGGCTAGCGCTGCCGGCTGGCGCTTGTCACAAACGCACGGCAGGAGCGCGCGGCCGGCGCAGTGTGTGCAGCCGGCCTGCCGACCATCTCCTGTTGGTGCCGAACCCGTTAGCCATGTGTACGGACGTGCGCAAAGCTGCCGTTCACCTTGTAACTGCCGCCATGGGTCCGTGGTTTGTCGCAGTACGGCATTGCTTGTTCACCCTGAACGGGCGCGTCTTCTGCAGTGTACCACGTGCTGCCCGGAGCCGTGGCGTTTCGTTCGGGGCACGGGTGTCTTGTCCTGCACCTCTACTGTCAGCGGTCGGCCCCAAACGAGTGTTTCGTGACATGCGGCCTAGCCACGCCGCCGACGCAGAGCCCCTTCTGTTTGCAGCGTGGTGCAGGCGCAGGTGAAGCCCGTGCTGGAGAAACTCAACTCGGACGCCGACTTCGACGTCAAGTTCTACGCGTCGGAGGCGATAGCGGGTAAGCGACAACTAATACCACATAAACAGCTAGTCACCTGGCTTGTGTGAAGGAGCGAGCATTCGCTGATCATTTATAAATGATATCCGTGGCCATCTTGCGAATGAACGCTCAGCAGGACTTGTTTGGCAGATAACTGTCTGATGGGCACGTCTGAAATAACTGTCTAATGGGCACGTCTGGGTGAGCAATTGCGAGAGGGAGGGGGGGGGGGGGGTGCAGGGGCCGGTCCAGGCGTGGGCTCCCTGACCTGGAAGAACTGCCGCGTGTTGGCGTCTCTCAGCGGAGCGTCTAGTGTCTAGCGTCGTCCGAACCGTGCTTTGGTCACTCCCCATTCTATGCAGGACCCGCCTCTCATTTTCAGCGCTGGGATAGGCTGGCTGGCCGACAGGCGCCGAGCGAGGGGTGGAGCGCCTGGCCGCGGCCAGGTCGGGCTCAGCGCGGCGCTTCAAGCGGGGCGCCGCCAGAGCGCGTGCGGGCGGATGGCAGTGTATGCGTGTTCACGTGCGTGGAGCTTGTCCTGTGTGCAGCGCGCCCAGGGCGCGACTTATGTGGGGGCGAAGTCGTGGATTGCGTGCGGCGGGACGTGGCTTACGTGCGCAAACTGTCGGAGAACTTAGTGTTTAGCAGCCTGGTACCGCGGACCGCTGTTCGTTACGCCGATGCCGGATGCTAGGGCCGGACGGGCCCGTGAGGTGTCTGTGATCGGTGGAGGGAGAGGGGGGGGGGGGGGTTCTGATCGGGTGATAGGAGACTGGCTGACCGGGCAGACCGAGAACGACGTCGGGCTTGAGTGAGTGGGCAGGCGCCAGCACTCGCCGTTCTATGGCAATCCGTCGTGCATCCCGTCGTGATTTTAACATTGGTCCTTAATCGAGTGTATCGCAGTTGCAAAATAAACCGTATGTCAATGCCTGAGTATTTATTTAGCCTGCGTGGCTTTGAACAATGCCCCGTGCCGAACGCCCGCGCAGCGAGCGGCCCGCACAGCATTGCACTTTGAGACACCAGGTAGCGAACAGCACGCGTTTGTTAAGTGTCGCACACGCTGCCACCCATTAAACACGGACATAAAACGGCAGGCGCCTACACAAGCGTTATTCCAGCGTCGTGCTGGCCCGCATGCCCCGCCCGGGGCCGCCATTTGAGCTCGGATTTGTGGAAGATTGGCGGCCGTAGTGGTGCGGCAGTCTTTGGTAGTGTTGGCGCCGCCGGAGCCGCTCCACACCTGTGACGTCAAGCGCGCGCCCGCCGCGCCGTCAGGCCATGCGCTGGTCGGCGTACAGCAGCGCCCGCTCCAGGATCTCCTTCTCGCCCAGCCGCAGCGTGACGGCCAGCCGGGCGCGCGGCGTCAGCGCGCCCGGCTCGGCCAGCAGGCGGCGGTCGTCGGCGGCCGGGCCCGGGTACAGGCGCAGCAGCAGGCCCAGCCGCGTGTGCAGAAAGCGCCAGGCGGTCGTCTCCAGGCCGTCCGGCAGGCCGGGGCACTCGTCCGAGCCCAGCTCCGACACGTTGTCCGCCAGCAGCCACTGGTCCAACGCGTCTGGCGGCCACACGCGTACGCTGATGTCGGGCTCTGCCCACGCAACAGCACAGGCCACGCCGGCGCCCGTCCGCGCTCACACGTACTATCACTAACCCCCAAAGCCACAGCGCGCGATGCCAACTGCTACGTACGACGGCGTTGCATCAGAAACTGATGGAAACGGCCCCTGAGTCGCCCATTAACGCACAAATTTAACACAAGCTGGTCTAATGACGTCATGGGTCGGGTTCGCTTTACCACACGGCCTCCCCACCATTCCCTATACGACTAGTACGTGGACCCACGCTCCTATGGCTTCGCCCGTCGTCTGGTCTGACCTGCGTCCATATTGAAGACGCGCAGGAAGGCGAGCAGCGAGGCGTCGATGGGCGCGCCTTCGCGGTGGAGGTAGAACACGCCGCTGGCCGGCACACCGAGTCGCTCCAGCAGGCGGCAGCGCCGCTGGTGCAGCGCGTCGCCCCGACTCACTCCCAGCCGTACGGCCACCGCGTCGTGCTCGTTGTCGCGGTACACGAACCTGCCGGCCGGCGGCGGCGTCGCGTGACGTCACGTGGCGACCGCCGACCGGCCGCCGGCTGACACAGCAGGTGACGGCCACTGCCGAAAGAGGCGCACGGCGCACCACCCGGCGCTGTGCTCACCGGCCCGCCACCTACCCGTTGTGCAGCAGAAACTCGGCGTTGGGCCGCACACCGTAGAAAATGAAGAACTGCTCGCCAGCCTCGAAGTCGCGCGAGGCGTAACACACGCTGCCGGCCTTCCTCCTGCAGGTAGTCCGTAGACACCTGGCCGACGCAGCGAGGCGTTAACACCAGGGTGACGCAACACACACTCTCGACCTCCTCCACAGTGGGTGTTTACCTCGAGCGATGAACTTTACACACCTCTCCGCATGAGCGGAACATCCTGCCGAATACTGGCCCCAATTACCTCGACCACACACCCGCAAGACAGGGTCGGCGGAGAACGGCGAAGGCGGCACAATGTTTTCGTCGATGCAACGTGCATGACAGCATCTTATCGCCAATTGCAAAGCTACCAAATTAAAGTGATGATGATGATGATTCGTATTTTAAGGCGCGCCAACATCAAAGGTCATTTCACGCCAATGTCGGCTGTTAGGCAATGCTTCTTTTGGACTAGAAAAGAGTAAATACAGCTGAATGAAAGCCCAACTTCTTAAAGAAATAAAACAACCGACTACAATAAAGTAATGCAAAGTCGTTTCTCAAAATGTCACGATAAGCCAGGGAGAGACATTGTCGCCAGACATGACGCAAACGTTTTTCTATGAGATGTGAAGAATGTGATAAACGGCCATGAATATGTCGGGTGAACTAGGAGGCCAGACACGACTTCAATGGGGCTCCTATCGCCGCCACGGTGCCTGTATTCCGAAATCCGAACCTTGGGCTTCCTCACCGCATGCACCGCTTATGGGCCGCTTGTCCCGCACCGAGGGTCCCTACTCACTATCACCGTCAGGGGCCCTTGACTGACAGAGCTGAGGTCCACCATCGCCTTACGAGGCTCTCAAGTGACACAGGAGGCTCTCTGGCTAACATTCTGGGATCTTGGCCTGTTTCAGTTTGGCTAGTAGGTCCCTGACCTACACACGCCTCCGAGGGATGCAGAACAGATTCTATGGCTGGCGTTCGCGTGCCCTGGCTGTGACCTCACTGTACTGCCGGCACGGGCCCCTGTTCAGTATTGGGGTCCCTCTCTCCGGTGCCGGACCCCGAGGACGGCAGTGGGACCCATCGATTGTTCAAGGGCCCCGAACAGCTTCGAAGGAGGTCACCTGACTGACATTCTGGGGTCTTGGCCCTGTCCCTGATCCTCTTCCCAGACTGTAGTCCCACTGGCGCGGGTCCCGGGCAGACAGAGGGCCTCTCATTGCCTCAGGGGTCTCCTTGTGACGTAAGAAAAGCTACAGGATATTCCAGAGACATGGCTCTGCTGCTGTTCAGATGATAGGCCCCGGCTGGTACGGAGCCCTGTTCAATGCCGGGCATCATCTGTTCAATAGCAGGAGCCACCTGTTCAATACCGGGGTTCCCTGGATGGCAGAGGACAACTCTTTACTTCAGGGAGCCCTCGAGCGACACATGAGGAGCCTCCCTTCCAATCTAAGGTCCTGCTCCAGGCGCTGTTCGGCATGTGGGCTTCAGCCCGGCACGGGGCCTCTGTTTATTGTCTGGAGCCCCCTTCTCAGTTTCGGGCCCCTGGTCGAGAGGGGAATATCAACGTTTCAGAGGCCCCGAATGCTCCGTTCAGCCAACAGGAATTTTGGGAGCCCCGGCCGATCTTTCGGGCCGGCCGGCCTCAGCCTTCTAGCCGTCCTTGGGGCCCCTGAACCCTCACGGGGTAGTAGATGGAGCAGCCCCCCCCCCCAAAAAAACCCCTTGTATCCGCCCCTGGTCGTAATACTATAGAAACAAGCACATAATGTTGCACAGCACTCTTGCGACAGGAGACGTAACAAACACCAGCAGAAGTACCACACACACACGCGCACTGGCAATTTCCTTGAACACTCATCATTACAGCTGTGTTTACACCGGTAACGTGGCACACTCACACCACATACTCACTCTGTCAGCTCCCTCCCGCAGGTCGTCTCCGGATCCCTGACTAACACCAGATTAGCACTGGGAGAAGTGACACACACACGGACAGTGTCCCTCTGCAGATGGCACACGGACACCGGGCCACGGCAGCCTCGACCTGCAGACAAGCCGGCGCCGAACGCTGCTCACTGACCCGTCCGTTGGCGTGGTTGCAGAGGTCCCAGAAGGGGATGAGGCCTGGCACGCCCTGGCCGCGGTCCTCCAGCGCCGGGATGTTGTTCATCCGGGTCATCACGGTGGACGCCGCCCACCTGGAGGGAGCAGTTGGCGTGATAAGGCGGAGCGCCTCAGACCATGCGGCGCCCGACTCGCCGACACGTCGCTCAGCCACAGGGGACAGCTGTAATACGAGCCGGCCCGTCGTCAAGCGCTTTGAACTGTAGGTCGGTTCCCCTGACCTGAACAGCGCCGATCGACCCTGCTGACGGCCTGCGCCCGTGCCGTCAAGTGGCCGGCGGCGGACCGAAGCCAGGTGAGCGCGCGCTACACCCTGCCGAGACGGTACCCGTCACGCCACACTCTGCTGAGGCCGCACCCGTCACGCCGCATCCCTCCGGACCGTACTCGTCACGCCGCATCCCTCCGAGAAGGCACCCGTCACGTCGCATCCCTCCGAGAGACACCCATTACGCCGCATCCCTCCGAGACGACATCCGCTACGCCGCACCCTGCCGAGGCGGCACCCGCTACGCCGGGCCGGTCATCTGACGCGCCCGTCCGGCTACCGCGTCTCACACGACCAACGTTATGGATAGGTCACCTAAGACCAATTATCGTAGCAACAAAACCGAGTGAAAAGGCGGTAGTCTTCGCTTGTGATGTAAACAAGAGTTCGAACTTTGGATGAGTAAGCCGAAAATCGATGCATACTGTTTGGATGCTGGCTCGCAAACGTGTTTATGGGTGCGTTTAATAAATGTGGACAGCAGATTACATCACACAAAATTATTTGCCACCCGGCTTTTCTCACACATTTGTCGTCGGTCCGACGGCATAGATTTCACGTGAGGCAAAACATATGCTGGGTGCGCACAATCGCCACGTTCCGCGGAGAGGTCAGCGCGACCTCACTCGCCGATTTTATATCCGATATGCTTCAACGAGCAAGAAAGGAACCGGCAAGGTCCCTGCAGATCAACTGCAACCTTTTAATCACGCTACTTTGCATTGTCTAATACGCTTGGCCTTTTACGGAGGGTCAAACGAGGTGGAGCTGAGTTTTACCATCGCTACGCAGCCTTGCACATGCTCGAAGAGCAAAGCCAATTCAAGTCAAAGTTAACAACTATCGACTTCTTGTATGTAATGAGAGGCCGAGGTATGGAAATGCGGGGCCATTTGAGATCGTCCCATATTTCATGGCCTTTTCATGAACAGTACATTGCGCGTTACGATTATGTGTACAATGGTGGTAGCACACCATATAATCAGGGCTACCAACACCACATTGGGTGTTTTTTCTTAGATTTGGGTAAACGTAACCTTGCATTTAAATAACTCGCATCACTGACACACCTGCCGCTTTGGATCATGTCACAAACTTGGGGGCGGTTTCATCCCTTTCAAAGTTTCATTTGAAGTGACCGTGGAGTACAATGGCCCAAACAAAGGTCACGGCGCGACCATTCAAAACGTCACAAGAAATATCTTCACAGCTTCCGAGCGGCCATGCAGGAAGACCTGGTACGTGCCGCGAGGCGAACGCGTTGTGGAGCGGCGATTATACATGTATCTCCGGAGTGTTGTGCTTTGGGAACGAGGCCATCGGTCAGTGACCTGATAAGGTGCGAACTTAAACAAGTGTAAGACGGCCTTAACTAAGACGCCTCAAAAGTCACTGGTTTTTCACGACGCACTCAGCTGCTGAAGCTATAGGCGATCGCCTCACGTCTCAAAATTTTGTTATGGCGCACCGGACAGCTCCGGAGATCATGTAGGCGGTACCCGAAACTAAGCTCATGGAGACACCTTTGGCCAGCCATACCAATGGAGTATGGGTGGCCAACAATGCTTTGTCGACACGACTGTCCGTTTTCTCCTCGTCCAATCGTTTCCCTCATTTCCGCGTGACGTCAGGGCGGTTAGATCTGTACATGATGTACCGTGTGCCCTAGCCCTTCGTGAATGTTGAAAATTTGCCCTTTCATACGCAATCGTACAGAACATTTAATGACATAGCAACGTTGCAGAAAAAGCCTGCTTCTTCAAACAGATCGTAATGGAAATGTTTATCCATCTGTATAGCAACAATTTTAGCGCCATAAGGATGGCGTTTTTTTTTTTTTGTTGTTGCTGAAAATGCCACGGACCCGTGATAAGCGGTTGTGCGGCCGCCTCTAAAGGACGCGACGATCGGGCCGTGGCGGACCGCCCAAATTCAGAGTTTTCTCATAGTTCAGTCTCGCCAGCACGCGGCCTCGCTCCTAATGAGTCCTGATACAACAACTGCAGAATGAAAGCTGAACGACGCCTTCTCAGGCCGGGGATATTTCAGTTAAAACATGTGACCCAAAGAAACACTCTACTCTTTTCCACGTACGACATGGGTCTCTACCAATGCAACTACATCTTTGCCTTCCCCATCTACAGATTGTAATGTACACAACAAACATGCTCGCACTCATTTTCAACTTTGCCATTCTACACTGCTCTCCTGACCATGAAAAGAACAGCACCAGTCCCAGGTATAACTAACCTCTTAACAACAACCTGACGTGAAAGTGAAAACTTCCTGCGATAAGACAAGCTAAGGCTCCAACTCTTTTTGGGTCATCTCAGTGGTCGAACAAGCCCTACTCCATGCTACCAGAGCGGAGCTGGGGTCCGTGTCCATCACCGGAGCAAAACCACCGAAGGTGACTGATCACAGACCGTCGAAGACGATCATCCCGAACGCAGCAGGTGATTCAGCGACACCAGTTGTGAACCCGCATCGGGTGAAACTACCCAGTCAAACCCGCTGTGAGCCGGCATCGAGTGGGACGAACCACCTCACACCACTTGAGAGCCGGCATCGGGTGAAATGACCCCCTCACACCACTTGAGAGCCGGCATCGGGTGAAATGACCCCCTCACACCAGTTGTGAGCACGCATCAGGTAAGACGCCTCGCTCGCACCAGTTGTGAGCCCGCATGGGGTGAGATGCCCCGCTCACACCAGTTGTAAGCCCGCATGAGGTGAGATGTCCCGCCTACACAAGTTGTGAGCCGGCATCGGGTGAGATGCCCTGCTCACACCAGTTGTAAGCCCGCATGGGCTGAGATGTCCCGCCTACACAAGTTGTGAGCCGGCATCGGGTGAGATGCCCCGCTCACACCAGTTGTGAGTCGGCGTCTGGTGGGACGCCCCAATCACACCAGTTGTGAGTCCGCATCGGGTGAAACACCGCCGCTCACACCAGTTGTGAGCTCACATGGGGAACAGGACGCCACAACACGACAATGTCAATATCAAATATAATCAATATAAAGGTCCATATCGCTTGCATCTTGGCAGCATACGTAAATGGAACTTTGAAACACGTGTTTTTCCCTGTGCTTTTAGATCAACACACTTCCATCGATCGAAGAAACCAAACGTGAAGTACGGGGACGGAACAGGAGCGTGAAACAGACATGCAGGAGTGTGGAACATGAATGGCACAGGAGCGTGAAGCTGGGGCCGGAGCCGGGCGGCGGCATGTTCGGGAGGAAAACGCACGCTCCTATGCACGGGACGTACTAACGGAAACCACAGAAGAGACGCGGGCGGAGAAACGGCCGGCGTCGGCCGTGGGAGTGGCGGCCGTCGTGTCCTGATTCCACGGGAACGGCGGCGGCCGCACGCCGTCCCGCTCCGCCGGTCCCGGTCCCGGTCCCGACCAGCCACCGCACACCGGCCACCGGGCGCCGAGGACAGGCCAGCCCAGCAATCCACAGCGGCCACCAGGTGCCGAGAACAGGCCAGCCCTGCAGCCCACACCGGCCACCAGGCGCCGAGGACAGGCCAGCCCTGCAGCCCACACCGGCCACCAGACGCCGAGGACAGGCCAGCCCAGCAGCCCACACCGGCCACCAGGCGCCGAGGACAGGCCAGCCCAGCAGTCCACATCGGCCACCAGGCGCCGAGGACATGCCAGCCCAGCAGCCCACACTGGCCACCAGGCGCCGAGGACAGGCCAGCCCAGCAGTCCACACCGGCCACCAGGCGCCGAGGACATGCCAGCCCAGCAGCCCACACCGGCCGACGGCAAACTCGCTGCGCCAGCCAGCACTACACGTGGCGCCGTCATCATCGGGTGTGGACGGGACCTTATGACTGCGAACTTGGAGCCCACTGCAGAGGCATCTGGCCTGCCGGAGAGGGAAGCAGTACAGGACGTCCGTTGTGGCGGCTGTGACCTGCCACAGGAGTGAGCAACCCAGATGGGACGTTCTCTGACCTGAACTATTGCCGCCCTCGACAGCAGGGCGGATGCGTGGGTCACCAAAGGATGGATGGAGCTGAGGTCGGGCAGGTGCCAAGAAGGGAGGTCCGACGCCACCATTGGGGCGGCCTTTGGCCAGACAGAGGCCACCGACAGGCGTGGTTGAGTCCGCCACAGGGAGTGAGGGAGCTGCGGCCAGACGGGGCAGTGACCGGTGTGGTCGAGCCCGGTCAGAGGCAGGGAGAGAGACACCGGCTAGAGCTGGTGCCGTCTCCGGCCGGCCGGCGGTGCCGTTGGCCCGCTGCCGCCATCCGTGAGAGCGCCGCTCAGTGACGCCTCAGCTGCCACCCGGCACGGACGTGCGGCCATCGAGCGGGCACGAGCGAGCGCCCAGACAAGCGCGTCGGCGGCGTTACATTGTGGCTGAGGCTCGGCATGTGTCGTGCTGCCGGGTGTCAGTGAACCAGCGCCGACCGGTCGACGTTGGACTCGGCACGACTCGCCGAGCTCGGCAGAAGCGGCCGCCATGACCCACCACAGGTAAACACCGCGGCCTCGCCGTCTTCGGGAGCCACCGAAGCTGTGCTCGCCGTTAAAGCGTGGTGTATTCATTGAAACGGATGCAAGGTTTCGGAGCACTTACCTCATAAGCAGAGTGTCAACTCCAGAGCTTTTAGGTGCTTACTAACCTTCGCCGGCGTTTAAAAGTGGCACGGTCCACATAGATGAGAAAGAGTATCATAAAGCAATGTCGTGTTGTAAAAAGCCTGTAGAAGCCTAAAACATCTCAGCGCTACACGCAGCGCTAAAAGAATCGCAAAACAAG